GTTCCAGTCCTTGCCTTTGATAAGCAAATGACCCCTATGGAATTGAGGTCAGAGCCTGCGAAAACAAGAGTGAGGGAGAGAAAAATAAAGTCCTGCACTCAGACAAGCCCAATATCGACTCCCCCGGGATTGAGTCCGATGATGTTTACCCTGTGTGTGTTGAGCCCCTGTTGGCTCAGGGGGGAGATTCATCCAACCCACCAGCGCACACATCCAGAGAAAGATGTCTGCGCTCTCACAATATGACCTCTTCCCTTTTTGTTAACCGTTACTCGTCTCCTTGCACATTTCAATGGGCTGCGTGTGTAAATAATCTTGTCTTTGCAACAGATTAGAATAAAACCCAAGTAAATGCGAATGTGTCCTTTGTGCTCGTGTGTGTGTGTGAGAGAGAGCCAGTGGATTCTAGTAATAGCTTGCATTGTACTCGATTGCCTCAAGACTTTGCAACAAGCTCCATCATACAATAGTAAGGTCAGTTTATTCATGAACTCAGCCACTCTGCATCTCCTCCAGTCTTCTTTATTCCTTCCGTTTCATTTTTTAAAACTCAGGAAGTCTTGAGGCGGAACATGTTTTCTTTGGTTTCTCTAAGCCTGAGCCCACAGACTGGCTGCTTTTACAGATGCTCCTTTTTAGATACAAGTTGTGCATGTTCGCTCTCTCTCTCTGCTTCACGCACAGATGCTGATTACTAATTGTGTGTGTGTGTGTGTTCAAATGATGTAAATCGCAGTACATCATGGGTGTAATTTTCATTAGGAATTTGAATAACTTTTCAAAATCCAGTTTTTCTCTTAAGTTTCAGTAATTTACTCACCAAAATCTCTTTAAACCTTGTCCATTAACTGTTTATTTTTCAGTTATTACTGTTCACCGATCAGTGCATTGTCCTAATAAATCAGCTATAATAGTGTACATACACTACAGGAAAGGGCGCGACCACTCTCCATGCATATAATATTTCAAGTAATACATAAAATGCAAGATTAAACATTAAGTTTACTAGTTTTACTGGTCTGATGGTAGAAATTCAAAAAGTATTTGTCATAAAGTATCAGCTGAAAGTTTTTTACCTGGTTAACGAGTCCACATGGTGTTTTTTTGTTTTGTTTTTTTGCTATAAGACACGTTATGAGTGAAATAGGAAGTCTACATTGTGGCTGAGCTTTTCTACTTCAAAACTGCCGTGTACTGATGACAGTCTCAAAAGCCTGGATTCAGACTTCCAGGGTTCACAGGTAACAAACCTAAAGATCCAATCCTGTTAACTTGCAGCGGAGGGCTTTTTGTATCATTATTTCTCTTCTGAATAGGTTTCCGGTTGGAACATGTAAGACTGAATTAATATTACAGCTTCGCATTGTATTGCACAGAGTAGTTTTACAGTGTTTGAGCATAGTCGTAGGTGAGCTGGTGTGCTGAGCTGCAGCGAGTGGGGAGGGATGGAGAAAGAGGCAGGAAAAAAAACAACAACAATGTAGAGTTTCATTTTAGCCATTTCAAGGCACGAAGGGATCATTTTTATGGGGAAAAAAACTTCTAAGTATGTAATTTTGAGTTTTAGGGGTTTAATCAAAGTCTGGGGAGGGACGTTAAGTTGGGTTGGTGTATTAATAAAACCAAGAAACCTGGAAGACAAAAATGGCACGGTGCAGAACTTTGACAGATGAGTTCGCCAAGATGAACTTCAGTATTTATTAACCTTTATTCGACAGGGAGTTTTGCATGTAAAGTGGCAATAAACGGCACTGACTCCACTGCTGTTGGCGCTGGTGTTGCCATGCATGTTTTCCTCTGTTTGTCTCTTAATCGTTTCCATGCAATGTTACAAATGGGATGTGTACTTTCCAGAAATTATGGTTAAGCACAGCCCACTGAGTTGCCCCATTGCACTGCAATAAAAATAAACTCACCAGGGTTCCAGTTATAAGCCCAGGATTCATACGGTGTCAATCACATAATCACCCTTTAAATTTTTCACAGTAATTTCACTGAGGTTTGGGATATGAGCTCATTTATAAATGGGCTACAGATCAAACCGAAGGCTGAGGGAATCGTGTCATGTTTTAATTATCATTTAACAGGGATGTTAAGTGCACGCTCACTATCTTGCAGGAAAGGAAGTGTAAATTTCCTCTTACTCTTTTTAGTTCTAACACCTTGGAGGCAGCTGAGCACGCTATTATAAATCGATATTAATATAATTGAGTCATAAGTGTGCCAGAGCCCCATTTTCAGAAAGGTAGCTTTCTAAGAATCGATACTGTAGTTTCTTTATCAGTCACCTGTGAGTGATGTTCATAAAGTTTTGTTTTACTTACAGCCGTCCTAATGGGGCAGACTTTAGAAAACATCAGTAAATAGCGGCCTGTCCGATCATTATTAACTGCTATAAAATTACAGCCGTATTTTGCTCACAAAGTGATGAGATTATTTTGTCCTACTTATTAATTGGAGTGAAATTGGACAGAGTGACTCACAGCAGTGTTACTGGAAGGTGTCAGACACAGAAAGCAGGTAATTATGGAGACAGGAAGAGATAAGGAAACAGAATGCAATTACCCTGGCAAGCAGAGCTTCAAATTGCTCTTCTTAGGATTTCTCACCTCAGGTTGCTATTGTTCATGCTTTGCATCTCCATACTGATCTTTATTCCTTTCACCCTCTAGCTCCGAGAAGAAGGAAGGTTTGCATTAATCAAATGAATTTTCTACTGTAAGTAGGTCCATACTAAGCACCGAATGCGGCTCAATGCCAAATTTCAGATGTATGTATTCAAATATATTTTTCCGAACTATGCGGCGCACATAAACTGCTGTGAGGTCAGTCTGTATCAGGGCCATCTGATATTTCCATTGTTCTAGGCTGCGAGGATGTTCTCAGAATTTAGTCTCATTTAGCTTGCAGGTTTTGGGGCATGTTTCATATTGATTGTCCTAGTTTTCACCCTGCATCTGTGCAATCGCTGCCATCTTGCATCCATATGTAATGTGCATTTCATAGATTTTGCTAATAACTAATACATACAGTGCACAAGGAGAAAAACAGATGAATTCTCCCTCCCTACCAGATCTATGCCAAGTGTACCTGATATAAATAACGCATATCTGCTTGTTGAAAAGCAAATAATCAAGAATAACTGTTACTCTCCCGCTGTGTTCGGCTTCTGTCGACGTCTTGGCTGCCTTTTTATTTAGAATATAGAAAATATAACCACAAGGATGATCGCTGTCCTTGGATGGCATATGTAGAAAGTTTCAATAGTCCTTTTGTCGGCGCATGTGTATGTTTTTTCAGCTTCTATGTTTTCAGGGGAAATACTGCCATGCTGCTGATTTGAAGGGAAAAGGAGGGTTTCTTCTGCTCCATTTGTTCATTCTCTGTAGTGCCCATTTTGTTACTTCAGCCATTTGTTTTAGCTTTTAGGTGCTCTCTCAGCCTGTGCCAAACACTCCCAGCACACACACACACACACACACACACATGCCAGCGTGCACACACACACACACATCTAATAGAAGAGCTGGACTTCAGAAAGACAAAGAAAGAGATTAAGTGAGGGTTTCACAAATCCAGCCTAGTGTTTGAAATGAATCAAACTTTTTGGCAGATTTATTAAAGCCATTATTAAACAGAAATATCACTTTGTCTTCTTTCTTTTCAAATTAGCTGCTAGTGAAGCACACACGAGAGCGTGTTGGTGAAATCTTGCACACAGCAAGGGGTGTTGTTGACGCTCAGAGTGGCGCTTCAGGGCTGGAGTCACTGCGCATGTACTCGCAATTACTGTGATCAAATACAGCAAAATCTGAAATTGTTTACAAAAAGAAAGAATCAGACTTTTGGGTTTGATGAATAGCTCTGTATCAGCACAAGTGCTTTAGGTAATCGCTGTATAGGTTAATGGTGTGATGGGTGCACTTGTTCAAGCCTCAGTCGGCTTCAGTCTGGGGCTGGAAATGATCACTGCAGACAGATCAAGTGTGTGAGAAGTGTGTCACAAAGTGCTTTTATGTAAATGTCAGTTGAAGAGTGCCTTTCCATTGAGATTTAAATATACAGCGCTGTATATGCCTCTGCTGTCAGTCTCCAAGGTGTGTCCTCTGCGACTCTGAAATGAGCTGTGTTCATGTGAACACCGCTCTCCAAAAGACAACAAAGAGAAAAGATAAGACGGAGAGAGAGCTGGAAGCTCAAGGAAAACATGGCAATCTCTTTATCAGAGTAAAGACAAAGCAGGGCACACGGTGGGGATCAAGGTCGCAGCGCAATATAAAAAAAATACCTCTGGATTACAAGTCCCAAATATAAGGTCAAAGGAAAATGAAATGAAAGATTGCTTCTCAAATATCAGAAAAAGGCTTGACTGTGACAACGCTGTATTGTTTGGACGCTTTAGCAGAATGGATTTCGTCCCAATTTTGCTTTGTTTAGAGAAATCTTTACTCGCTTCTAAAAAAAAGTAATGATTTTTTTTTTCTTATATAAACTCTGTCGTGAAAATGCTCCATAGATTTGGGAACTCTTCTCCCCCCCCTTTCCTGGATTTAATAATAGAGACGCAGGTAATGCTGAGTATTTTTGTATGTAGAGTGTTTGTTTTACGCTTCCTTGTTCCTTCCCAACTGTTGCTGTTTTAACGCCCTCCAAATTACACCGAGGATAGCTGTGAGGCTCTCTTCTCATTCTCCTCAGTTAACAAGCACTCTGTTTATATATGATTATGGTTCTCTGCTTGTTTATTCTGCCTGACTTTTTTTTTTTTTTTTTTTAAATTGCTTTGCCGGTTTGGTTCAAGGTACCAAATGCACTTAAAGGTTTCAGTTCAGCTCATTTGTTTTCTTTCCGCTGAGAAATATTTATGGTCATTTAACTTTTTTTTTTTTTCTTTTTCTATTTTTTTTTTTTTTTTTTTGCTGCAGTCAAACAAGCCGATGGGAATAAACCCGCGCTTATTCATTCCTCCGTGTTTTGACTGTTATTTCTTTGCTTTGCAGCGCTGCCAGTCATGCAGGTGACAATTGACATCACCAGACAGCAGGTGGAGAAGATCTTCGGTCTCGATGAGTACTGGTGTCAGTGCGTCGCCTGGAGCACCACCGGAACCCAGAAGAGCCAGAAAGCTTACATCAGGATTGCATGTGAGTGCACTTTAAAACGATCAGCCGTTATTAGAAATGCAAAGGCTGCCTAACAAGGTGCTTACATATTGCATGTCAGAGCGTAATAAGAGGATATTAGCGTCATTATTTCCTCACTTTGGGTGGTTGGGGAAGGACTAACTTTCATTTAACAATTAGCCCAGAGAACATTATGATCTGTTGCACCACAGTGTGTTGCTGTGATTACAATTTAGTTAAATCATCTTCCTGTGATTCTACTTATGAGGAGAAAATATCAGACTCTGGCAGGGAGAAGGAGAAAGTAATGCATCTGCTTGAAGGCAGTCACAAAAAAAAAGAAAAAGTGGAACACTAAATTTGAGTATTCATGAGCATATTTTTCACTAGATACAGTATATCAGCAATGATCCCTATGAAAGTAACTGGAATAAAAACAGATTTGAAATTTATTGCTGTGCAGCAATCATAAATCTGTCTGGGGAACACAGACACATCCCTCGCTGCAGCCTCAAAAGCTTTATTAGAAGAAGCCATTTTACATCTGAGTATTTTAAAGCATTCTGCCTATTAATTCCCACATAAATATGTATTATTCCAGACAGAGCCAAACGCGGCACCGTCTCCAAACCACAAGACGTTTTGAAAACACACATTCATTATCCGTCCTTGTTTGAGAGCTCAACAAAGTCAGATAGATGAGATAAGGACACGCACGTGGTTGAATAACGACGCACAGTCGCGATATTCACACGCGCACACATATACACTCGCATACATTCGAGCCTTCCAAGACTGTTATATCTCAAGTCTCCTCCAGTCCCATTGTATCAGCTTTAATTAAATTGAATGTCGCGAAAGTCTCTCTGCTCGACTTAGCGTTTCTCTCGGTATGATTGGTCAGGACAAGCTCAACATCTGTTTAAAGGAATTCACCGGCGGCTCACAACCGCACCCTCAGCCCCTCACAACACAATAACACATTGCCTCACTCTGAGTCAAAAACCGGGGTGAACACATCAAATTTGTGCCTACCCGCCAGCTATCAGCGGCCTGTCAGGCTCATCTGATACAAAAAGACCCGCATTTATTTTCCCCCACAAGAAATAAGCATCGGCAGTTTTACCTGTGTAATTTTCAGCCGCGGCTTACAAATATATAGCAGGACTTGGTGCAACCGTAAGAGTGTTCAATGAGACGTAATGTGAAGCCCCATGCAGGCAGCCAGGCTTGCAGGAGCTCTTGTCCAGGCGCCTCAGGGCTTTGTTTTCGTGTGGCTGCTCCAAGCCGTCATACAGATGGAAGCTGGAGGCTGGCGAATGCTGGATAGAGGAGAGTGGGTGGGAGTGAGGGGTAATGCAATTGCTTTTGCTTGATGCCGGGCCCCTCTGGCAGCAGACAAGCATCCCTGAACCAGCCAGGCAGCCTGTAATAAGCAACATGGTTGGTGCCACCGATCCCAGTGTGGCTTAGGGGCCAACTAGTGTGCGACATGCTCAGTGAGGCCTTCGGTGGACATGTCAGAAGTGGAAGATTTGAAAACATCACAAGGCCTAGTTTGCGAGATAAAAGTGTGTTGTTCAAATCTCACCAGCTCTTGCAAATACCCTAATTGGTTGTGTTTCTCCCCCGTCTTTTTGTTGGTTTGTTTTTTTTCTTTTTCAACAAGACCTGAGAAAGAACTTTGAGGAGGAGCCGCAGGGTAAAGAGGTGGCATTGGACCAGGAGGTGTTACTGCGTTGCCATCCCCCGGAGGGAGTGCCACAAGCCGAGGTGAGACACGGGTACAGAAGATATTTATAGGCCCACATCAAGCATCCATTTACCCTTTCCTCTCCACGAGGACAAAAAGTAAAAAGTGGCTCAGGATCAGCTCCCTTGCTTCTCTCCCTTTGCCTCACCGGGGAACAGAAAAACCCCAGTACGGATAAATTACACCTCTAATTATTCCCCATTATTGATTTATTATCTCTCTTACATCTCTGAGAAGCCGTATATCACATCGTCTCGTCACATCACTCAGGATAGGCTTGGAGGCTTCACTCCCCGTTTGGCATCTCTAAAGGCCTATCCATAATTAATGGGTCTATTTGCCTCACTCTTTCCCTATCTCATTCTATATCTCTCAGCCGTCTCTCCGCGCACTGTATCTCTCTTACACTCTTGTTCTGCTCAACTCTCCCTGTCTCTCTCTATTTCCATGTCTCTCGGCGACGTGCGTCTGTGTTTCGAGGACCAGACCGGGGCCAGCTGTTTCACCTCGTGTGCTGGATCCTCCCAGTCCCAGATAGGCACTAACTGTTCTAATAACAACACAAGAGGAGCTTAGGCCATCCACTCAGACAGCCCAGAGACCAGAAACAGCAGACTAGCCAATCACAGCTCAACTGTGTAGGGACAGTTTGTAGAGAAATGGGAAGGAAGGTGCCAACCGCAGTTCAACAGAAAAGAACATCAGAGCAGAAGTCACCACGGGGGGAAAACAGGGATAGCGCACAAGAGGAAGAAAAGCCCAATTATATGCGGTATCGCAACTGGCAGTAATACCAACAACAATGCTGCCACGCCGTTGCTTCTCTCGAGACAGCACAAGGTCAAGTGAGAGCAAGAAAACAAGCAAGCCAATCTGAGACTACACCAAAAAAGGAATAACATCAGTTTTGGCTTTTTGCAATAGAGGGCACAAAAACTACACAAAGCATGACCGGTTTTGCTCGCAGACCACCAACAGCTACAGAGATATCCAACAGTTACACAATAAAAGCAGCACTCTCACCACCGACAAAAAAAAAAATGAACAAATATTAAAATCAGTAGGGTGTATAAATAAATTAATTCTATCTCAGTACCATACCGAGCTATGTCTGTTCTTCCTTTTGTCTGTTTGATTGCATCAGAACAGAAGTGCACCGCTGCGTTTCTCGTCCATGTAGAAAGCTCTCATCCACATAATGTCTGGCCGCTGTAGAGCCCGCTTCTATTGAGTCGCAGTGAATTCTGACCGCTGAAATGTATTTTCAGGTGGAGTGGCAGAGAAACGAGGATGTGATCGACCCGGCGAGTGACCCCAATTTTTTCATCACGACTGACCATAATCTCGTCATCAAAAAAGCCCGGCTGGCGGACACAGGCAACTACACGTGCGTGGCCAAAAACATTGTCGCTCGCCGCAAAAGCACCTCTGCCACGGTCCTGGTCTATGGTAGGTGATAACTTCTCTCAACTGGTGTCACAACTCTGTACACGGAGGCTAATGGCAGGTGATTGAGCTGCAGGGTATACACACAGCTCGGTTTATTGCTTGCATGTTGCTTCTGTTATCCCACATTTCCACATTAACCCGTGCATGCTGTCTTGCATGGAATATATACGTGGGTGCAAGTCTTCTGTGAGACGGTCCTACTGTTACAATGGCTAATAACAGCGTGACATATGGTGACAACTTGCATATGTCAGCATTGTTTTTCAGCAAGCAGTGATTTACACCGTCGTAAATAACTCCATAAAGAGTTAGTAGTAGTATCTGCACATTAATTAGCACAACTTAAAATGTTACTGGCAGCCGTTCTGCCAAAGCTGGCAGTCTCTGATGTCGGCGCTGCCATCTTCCCCCTCTTCTGTAGTGAATCCAGTATGAGAAGAAAAATTGAATTAACAGCAAACTGTAAATAATGACTTGGCTTGATAAGCAGACTGACCTTTATTAAAATGCAGAGAAACAGCATATTTTCTATCACAGAGGGTTCCATGGGTACTGGCACTACAAAAGTTTTGCATACATTACATGCTGGTTTAATTCTCATCTACATGCAAGCAGCAGACGGAAATCACATGGGAATGATTCATGAAAACAACTTTGTGATTAAGAAATGTATGTCTGACACAGGGTCTGTTTTTCTTGAGGTTGCCAGATAAAGATTTTACTATGATGTGCCGTAAAGGCAGAACAACTGTTAATTTTTTCATGCATTAGCCGAGAAAACGCACTATATGCTACAGATACAGTGGCTAAAAAGGAGGCACCTTCCTCTGAACTGTTCCCCTTTTATCGCTTTTCAACACTGAATCCTGGTCAGTTCAATTTGTCTTTTTTGACGAGAATTTCCCGAAAAAAGACTTTTTCATTTCAAAGTAAATGCACATTTCTACAAAGTAATGTCAATAAATTGAAATGTAAAACAGAAAATAAATGATTGCTTAAGTGTTCACACTCTTTAAGGTGAATCAGGTAGTTCAACACAGGTGGAGCCGGTCGGTGCTTGAAATCACACAGTTAGTAAAATTGATCTGATTGCAGTGAATGTGTCTCAGTGACTGTAGTATGAAAACATCTTGAGAGTTCAGCCTCTGGTGAATCAGTTCTCCTGGCTATGAGTACACCACGAGGACAAAAAGATTAGAACGCTGCAGGCAACTCTGTGAAAAGGTTACTGGGAAGCTTCAGTCAGAGGATGGATACAAGTAAAAAGTCACTGAATATCGACTTGAAGTACAGTGAAATCCATCATTAAGAAATGGAAGGAATACGGCTCGTGTGTAAATCAGCCGAAAGCAGGCCGTCCATCATCACAACCACACCATCCACACAGTGAAGCATGGTGGTGGCAGCATCATGATGTTGGGATGCTTCACGGCAGCAGGCCCTGGAAGGCTTGTAAAGGTTGAGGGTAAAATGAATGCAGCAAAGTATTTGGGGAATCTTGGAGGACAACCTGATGCAGTCTGCAAGAGAGCTGCAACTCTGAGAAAGATTTGTTTTCCAGCAAGACAGTGACCCGAAGCATACCGCCAAAACGACACAGGAATGGTTTTAAGGCAACAAGGTGAATGTTCTCGAGTGACTGAGTAAAACCTCAGACCTTAGTCCAACTGACAAGTTGTTGCTGGACTAGAAAAAAAATATTTATTCATGATCTCTGTCCAGCCTGACAGAGTTTAAGCAGGTCTGCAAAGAAGAATGGAGTAAATTTGCAGTGTCTCGAAATGCAAAGCTGATTGAGACTTATCCAAACAGGCTCAATGCTGTAATTGCGGCCAAAGGTGCAGCTGCTTAATACTGACCTGAAAGGAGTGAAAACTTATGCAATCATTTATTGTTATGCTTTAATTTTTTTTAAAATTGGCATTCCATTGTAATAATCAATTTCCACTTTGACATGAAGTCATATTAACCATGACTGAACGTTGAAAAGCAATAAAAGGGGACGACTTCCCAGAACGGTGAATACTTTTCATAGACACTGTATATAGATAAAGGATTATTTTATCTTATATTATCTTATAGCACTATGTGACCCCGAATAAGGGTGTCAGTGGGAATGTATTTCTCTTTAGCTTTAGTTATTTATTCAGTTTCAATATATGTCTAAAATACAAGTTTTATATATCACTGAAAAAATGAACAATAAATAAATTAACTAATTAAAGAAAAGAAAAATGAAGGAGAGTTACTGATGGCGTACATTTTGTAAGTTATCTTCAGAAAAACATGGCATAATTTTGTTTAGACTATAAATATGTGTGTAATTGCTGTGCGCTGCACAAGTCCGTCTCGATGACAACTGTGAAAACATTTATATTTGTATTTAATAGAAAAATCCAAGGACTTTGAAAAGGAGTGGGGGGCCATTTATGGACTTCCCGAAGACATATGAATTATTTGAATGAAATGTAATATCAAATATCCAGTTCTCGTATTCAGGTAGCACTACTTGAAAATTAATTACCGCTTAAGATCGCAGTTCCTCTGCTTTGTCAGCTAACAAAAAGAGCACCACATTTTTGATTGGAGTAGGATGGATACAGAAAATGTGATCTCAATGTGGTGTAGTATTCGAGCCTTTATGTAGCATTGGGAAAGAAAAAAAAATGTTGATCTGATGTAACCAATCATATACACGTCGGTAGATGAGCTGGAGGGAGAAACGCTGCATGTATTCTGATTGACTTTAGTTCATAAATGTAATTATAATAATACAATAATGATTTACTACACGGTAACAGAAATCATTGTATTCTAGTTTTATGATGAAACACTTTGGCTGATTTCCTCTGAAGGCTAACTTTTTAATTCAACACGTTGTGCCAAGCCCGAGGGAGCTTCAAATGTTTAACTAGTGATGTATGGCAGTTGAGAATCGAGTCATGCGTTTCTGCTGTGAGTGGTGTCGAATGAAATGTGTTAATTTGGAGCATGCAGTCAAAACAGGCATTATCATACACTCCTCCGGCATCACAAATGGAAAACGCACAATTATTCTTCGCGTTGATTAGAATTGATTAGCTTGTTGTTAAAAGACTTGATAGAGTTGACCAGAGACCATGCAGGCATTCACATTCCTATTGTTTGCCTTTCTTGTATTGTCAAACAATAATTTTCACTCATAGACTCGAAAAATTGTGAGCAAATTGCCGGGGCGTTTGCATGCGCAGTTTTCTTCCCATCATGCTCTGTGCTTGATAAGATGACACCAGTGCAGCATTGATTGAGGTTAAAGCACAATGGTGGGTGTGTTGTTGGCTTATGGTGCTGTAACTTAGAGCAGAAAAAGAAAAATTCAGTTCGCTGAGAGCATCACAGGCTGCCATGCTAGTTAATCTAGCTAGCTGTAGCAAGCCATAATAACCGCTACTTTTCAAAGGGGGTTCAACAGGGGGCCAGAGATGCATTTTAACAAGGCCTGGCTGGTGTGACTGCACTCTGTGCTAAGAGGTAATCAGGGGCCGAGTTGCCTGGCAATTTACCTCGCTGTGGCGGGCAATCAATCGCATAGAGGGGGCAAGGAAATGATTCAGCCACGACAAGCACAGGAGAGAGTTAGGAGGAAATTAGGAGGGGAGTATGTACAGAGAAGCAACGACGGCGCTGTTCAAGTCAATAAATCAGGAATCTGTACCTTGTATGCTGAGAGAAACGCGGTGGATACAGGAACAGAAACAGCATGACTTGATGTAATCACCTCCTGTGATTGAGAGATATAGAAGCACTTCTGTGCCGATTAAGGTTTTGAACATAGAAACTGGCTCAACAGGTGGATGTAATAATAGAAATTCAGCATGCAGTGAGTTTCGAACTGCTTGAACTTTACATTTCTTATATATGTATGCAAAGAACCAATTGTACAGCCGTGTTCTCTGCAATGTAAAAAAAATCCTTGAGCTTGAAGAATGGTATGTATCGGTGTGAAATCAGTCGTGGATGTGGGAAGAGGACAATTGGAATTACAGCAGCAACCATGTTATATGTATTTTTTAGCAATGTGTTGGCATTTCCAAGGACTAGGGTTGGGTTTTTGCATGTACAAACGTGACTATTTGGCTTTAAACAGCATGGCTTCACAGTGATTACATTACCACGGTGGAATTTGGAAGGGATGTTTAAAAGTTGCCTCGCAGCAATCGTGTCGTCCTCAGAGACGAGGTGAAAGATGCCAATCGGTCATGTTATTTTCCTGCTCCCTGTTGAAGCCATTTTGTTTGGCTGTAATTCCGACTCAGACGCAGGAAGCAGCCGCCTTTGCTCTTCCATTTGTTCACCTTGCAGTGTGGAAACCAAAGAGTGTCAAAAGCAGTCATGATGATTCTATCGCAGCGCACCTCTTTTCCTTAGTGCATGTCGGGTAATCCTGGCTGCTCTGTCCCTTCATCCATCCATCCCTTCCTCCAACCTTCCCCTCCTCCTTACCTCACCCTCTCCATCCCCCCACCCCTCCCTTGGCGCTGGTCTGACAGTCAACGGCGGCTGGTCCACGTGGACCACCTGGTCGTCCTGCAGTGCCGTGTGTGGGCGTGGCTGGCAGAAGAGGAGTCGGAGCTGCACCAACCCCACGCCACTGAATGGAGGCACATCCTGTGAGGGGCAGAACGTCCAGAAAAGTGCCTGTGTGGCCACCTGTCCAGGTAACTCCCAGGCAACCCCGTATTGTCCTGTGACGCTTGGCTTCCTGTGGCTTCCTTTTTGCACTTTTTTTGGCATCTAGAAGTCATCAGTTCATCTTTATTTTGGCTGCCCTTTTTGTACCAGCACGTCCAAGTCTTTTCTTAGATGTCAGGCTTCTGTTGCTTCTTGCAATTAGACCGCTAACACAGCAATGTCAGAGCCTATTAGTCTTCACAGTAAGGCCTCATCCTGAAAGAGATTTATTGTTGTCGCACTGTGTTCACATATCTCTTTATCTTCTGCACTGTACGCAGACCTTACTTTTATTTCAGAGGCATGTCTGCTTGAAGAGACATGGGCCCCAGTCGTGGTATTGTGTCACACCAGCTAGTACATTTGTTATTGTTTGCTGCTCAAGCTATGTAGTAAATACAGGCAATAAAACGCTGAATTATGGCGGCTTGTGTGCCATGTTTACGTGCGAGGAGTTGAGGGCATTTCATTTGCTTGCCCGTTCTCCCTTGTGAGTGTCGGAGAGGCAGAGAGTGTCCTGCCTGATAGTGAGCAACACATATTGATCTCTGGTAGCCTGAGATGGAAGTCAAGCTGCTTCATTTGCAGTCCCACATTAGCCCCCTGACAGAGGGGGAGATAGTGAGGGAGAGAGCAGGGGAGGAAAACGGAGGTGTAAGGTGGAAGCAGGGCTGGAGACAGATGGAATCAGATACAGTGTAAGGAAGACGGGAACAAAGCCTGGAGTGAGAGAGAAAAGAGGGAAAACTGAGAAAGAGGCTGAGAAAGCCTGAGTGTGTACAAGAGGAGGCTGTTTGGCTGCCAGCAGATCAGCGCGCGGACCTATAGTTGGTGCGCTGCAGCCGTGCTGACCGCAGGAGAAATCTCCCACGCTCGGTAAATAGCAGGGAGGGAAATACAACACCCCTGGCATGGCAGCTTCTCCCTGCCTAAAACAGAGGTTATCTTCCTCAGTGAATCAGGGTGTTGCGTTACACATCTCCCATGTAAAGACATCACTAGATGTCAAGCGTGAGTGTAAGTAACATGGCCCGCTGGAATACAGCAGGAGGAGGAAGACAAAGGAAACACAAATGCATGACGTGCCGTCAGGATCTGGATGGATTTGGAATTATTCGAGTTGGAGCAACGAGTAATGGAATTAGACTGGTGCCCAGGGATGCTTGACATTCCTCCACAGCAAAGCAGGATACTGACCTCCATGAGCTTAAAGAGATTAATGTCAGTCCAAGCTGCTATTGTTAGACTACCCCCCCTCCCTCCTCTATCTTTCACTCGCTCCACAAGGAGAAAGTGTGTAATTTCAACCATTAGGGTGCTGTGACAAAAATTGCATTGTGCCCTGTGAACACAGTTTACAGAGAGTTTGGGTGAGAAAGAACTCAATTTTTGTGTCTTGATGAGAGATGCTAGAGCAGCGTGACCCCGCTTACACCTCTATCAGTCCTGTTGTTTGGCAACAGAGGGTAGTCTCAGCCTCCTTTTCTTACTTGTTACCTGTCTGAGAACGGGGACATCAGTGGCGGAGACAGCCCCAGCTGTCTGAACCCGGAGAGGGTTCCCCTCAAGGCCAAAGTCCACCACGCCAGAGCCTGTGGATGATGAGCTGTTGTTTCCAATCACGAGTGGCACCGAGGCTCCAGTGTACTCACAGACACGTCTGTGAAGTCGCCCCAAGATGAACTGACACTTCTTGTAATTTCGTCACTCAGCACGCACACAATCCACCAGTGAAAACCCCCAAATACACATGAACCCTCAGTTTGATCCATCAAATACACGTTTAACCCTCTGAACCCCAAGTATTTTTTGCTTCTGTTGCACTTTAACTCACTGTGGGCTCATTTTTCACTGCAATATCAAGGTTAGCACCCTTATAGAAACAACACAACCATGACTAGAAATAGACAGAACTAAAAAAAAAAAAATCTTCTTTGCTGGACTCTGCCGTTACAATGCTATATATCATAAGAAAACAATTTTTTATTTATTTTATTTTATTTTTTTACAAAAATTGAAGAAACGCAGAATGTACAACATTTTTCCACGTGTCCATACCATAAATATTTTACTGCTTCCATCTTTGATTTGTATTGATCTGCACCATATAAGCACAAACAAACACAAAAAGCTTAATAATTGTTGTCACATGACGGTTGATTACAGCTCGGTCTGTCATGTCATCATATTTGTGCCAATGAGCACAGAGTCTTTAGATTTTTCCAGAACACGGTTACTGCAAACAGTTAGTTTCTGGTACATTATTAAATGAGACACAGAATGAAATGATTTGGGTAAAAATTTCAGCTTGTATTTTTGTCATTTTCCAATTGGAACGGTCCATCATAGATCACAATCAGGGGAAAACTTGTAGTTTGGATTTGATCTTTTGTGACACCACTCCTGACACTTTTCTGACACACCTCGTATGAATCATCAGCCTGAATCTATGAATAGACACTGCCATATAAGAGTTATGTTCAACTAGAGCCTAACGACTAGCCTAGCAGAGTGCATCACCACATACTGGATAAGAAATATAACTATTGTGTGCGTGTAGCCTTTACATGGTGATTTTAGTCCATTTTAGAAGACAGAGACTTAAGAAGAATGAATTGCACGGGATGCTGTAATGCTGCAGATGGACATCATGTTATTTATTTATAGACGACTGACATTTGGATTCAGAAGTAGTTTTCTTTATTTTTATTTTTAATTCAGCCTTGAGAGGCCTTTTTTCCTCAACCCTGGCTTTGTTTTTGAGCTGCATTTTTAAAATTACATGATTCAATGCTGGTCTTGTTTCAAAAGTTCATTAATTATCGAGACTAAGATTTTTGTGTTGGCTATTAGCTCTCTAGTGCATTTAACTCTCAGCATTAGGTCTTTGAAATGGGTTACAGAAAAACATACTTGGTTTTTAGCCACTTATACTGTGTAATTTGCAGTTGCGGTCTGTTTTGTCTTAAACACATTGACGGCCTCTTGGATTGGCCGTCTTTATCCTTAAGGGATAAAAGATGCTGTCAGCTGAGTGAAAATTCGCTGGAAACAAATCAATTTAAATTTGGAAGCAACAACATGCAAATGCTATAATTTGTCTCTGCGTTGCCCAACTTCGTCCTTATATAGCTTCTGTTGAAACGCTGATGGTCATTTGTTGTTGCACATTTAGAAGGGAGCAGGATTGCTGCCGAGTGGTACAGTCTCAGAGGCACATTTTCGAACACATACATTATATAGGCTTTCGACAAACTGACACCGGTAACAAAACTCTCCACATGTCTACTCACGATGACTCTTGTATCTAAATGTGAGTTCCCACCTCTCATCGGGAAAAGTGTGAAGCTAGAGAGGCTCATCTGTATTTTTGTCTAAGTCTCCAAAGTGTTTAATGAGAGTTGGCGGAGGCCTGTGTGGCAGATCAGATGGGCTCCATGCTGGGAGAGACACAGGGAGCTGTGGAGGAGGAGGAGGAGGCTGAGGCTAAAGCCCTGAGGCTCAGAGCAGAGCAGATCAACACTTGAGACAGCGAGTAGCCAAACTATGCAAGGGCTTATCTCCATTTCTATTTCCTCTCTCTGCCTTCTCCGTTTCTTTTGTCTCCATCCCAGCACATCCCACTGAAGTATCCCACATAATTCTGCAGTCCATCCCTCACCCTTTCATCGACTCTGCCCCTGCACTGACTCGCGGTCAGAGCCAGCAGTCGAAATGGCAAAATGTCAGATCATCCCAGCGTTTTCCAACAAAGACAAACACTACCTGAGCCAACAGCAAATAGTTAGTCCCCAGTTTTGGAAGTGACACCTACCCCACGCAAATGAACCGAACTGTTGCCTGATATGAGAGAGAACACCAAACAACCTGAAGAGATTTCTAACTCGTGTGAATTATTTAAATATAGTACCGATCCCTCAGGCTTGCCAGAGGAGTCGTGAGAGTTCTACTAGATGGAAAATAAACAGACTCGGGGCTGGTGTATTTGTGCGCGTCTGCTTGTAAGTGTGTGTTTGCGCACATACGCGCTCCACACACGCACGCCGGCGCCCATATGTGTGCTGTCTGCACTGCTGGCAAAAGTCTAATTTGAAGTAAGTTAGTAATGCGTTTCTAGATATTGTCATAGGTTGCTCTGGAGACTCCATATTGTGGCGATGGAATAAATAAAGGCTATGGCTAATAATGTGACAGAAAAACACATTAGTTCACTGTGAAAAGATGGTGGCCATCTGGTGATAGCCTTGCATCATTTTTAATCATTTGGTGCCATTTGTTTTGGCCCTCCCTCTTAATGTCTCATTCTGTCTCGTTTCGGTTTGTTAAAGCGATATAGTCGGAACAAACTCTGCTTCTCAACAGTCTAGTGCGGCATTTAGATATTTTTTTTTTCCTATTGAATTTGTTAGAAATGCAGACTGATGTTTTGCTGATTAATCTCAACGGGTCACCAGTTTTCTGTGGCTTTTTTCCCCATCATCCTTTGAGCATTGTGATTAGAGGTGGCTACTGTGCACACATGTGTTTTGACAGGACAGTGGCAGCGGAGGGGCGGCCTGCTGGTCCCAGTGGTACTTGTCTACCTCCTTGTGTTCCCCTCAAGGACAAGGAAACCATAGGTGTTCGATGATCTCGGACTGTGTCCATCAGCGGCCATTGTGATTTTGAACAGCCAAGCCTCAAACAGGCCCTCCTACCGGCCTGTAAAGAATGGTTGGATTCCTTTTGCTTCTCCCCTTGGCAACATGTCCAAATGGGGGCTTGCCACTGGGTTATTGTATTACTGTCCCTCCTCTGAGACCTGTCTGACCTGAAACCTGTGGTGCTGTATGATTGAAAATCAGCTGTGGTGCCTTTTGCAGGAGTGCTAACAATCTCTTTCTGGGGATTTTATGAGCAATGCCGTGGCTGTGGATTACAATTTTCTTATGAGGATAGTGAAAAAATAAGAAGGATGAGGTTTGGTTCTAATTTCAGCCTTAAATTTTCCTTGCTTTGCCGCTTTTATTGTCGCAGCTTGACATCTTTTAAACAGTCGAGAGAGCCATCCTTTCATGCCGTCCATACGTTTCTTTGGTCTTTGCTCCTATGGAAAGCCTCTCCTCTGTCTGAAAGATGTGGAACGTGTTCAGAAACAGGCAATCAAGGACTGTTAATGGATCTTCACCCTTTCCTTGATTTCCCCTCATCCTCGGGTGGCTGTGTTTGCGTCTCACCCTGCATTCTCGTGACCATTGCTCTGCCTCCACACCAATCTCCTTGTTTGAAAATGTCATTTGCATGGCCATTAGTCTTGCTTTGTGGTGGAAAAGAGAAGTTGAATTTCATCACCTCATCAGGGCAGATGTTGATCTCATCTCTTTATTTCACAGTGGTGTGGATAAACTGAGGGGCGACATAATATATTCATTAGGATGTAATTCGCTATTCAATCATTCTCGTTCCCAGCCTGGATAATCAGCCCACTGGCCCACGGATGGGTCCACTCAATGCCAAACAAGGACAATTATCTGATTGGTTCTGCTCTCTCTGCCAAATGGATCTGACTGCAAAAAGGCCCAAGCTGTGTCAGCATCCCACCACACACACACACACACACACACACACTCACACATGCATGTACACACAAACACACCATCATTTGAGGACACATGCAGGCAAACATACAGACTTGTGTGTGGGAGCACTTGGTCCAAAACGCTCATGGTGGCTTTTGTGTGGTTTTTTCCAATTGGAGGTTTTGCTTGAAAACCAAATAAAATCATTACTTGGTACATGCAGTAATAGATAGCCTCACCCTCACTAACATCCCACTTATGTTTTATTAAGCGAAGCCTCATGACCTGCAGTGAGTCAGACCTGCTCTCTGGAGGTCATGCCCCCTGCACTCTTTATTGCTAGGATTAATGAGCACTAAGGTTTCCCTGCCCTGAGGTCAGTCAGGGGAAGGGTTGCTGCTGTCATAGAGGTGTGCATGTACCGCGTAGGTGTGTGCGAGTGTGCATGCAGGTGATTCTCGTCTGGTCCCCTTCACCCTTACATTTGGGAGAGAGAAAGCACAAGATAGTGGCGTTTTTGCCCCCATGAGAGCTCATTACTGCTCTTTTTCCTATTAGCCCTATGGTAACCTTCCCCAGGCCTGGCGCTGTGTCACTCTCAATATCACTCTCAGCCGCCGCCGCCGCCCCCACCAGCCACGATGCCAAATTACCCCCACCTTTGCAAAATGGCCTCCCCCTGTGCATGTGTGTGCGGTAAAGATATTCCTTACAGCCGGGCATGCACAGAACTATTACCTTCCCATTTCCATTTGTTTCATTTTGCTTGTGCTGATGGTGGGGTGTTTGAAGTTAGGCAGCAGGTGTAATGTACATTCTTCTCTGTTCAGAGTAATGCCACCTGCGTTGTGCCGTGCATTAGGTTACACTGCAGGCAGCTCTCCGGTTGCTACAGTAACATCTTGTCAGACAGAGAAATCAAAACCAAGGCAAGTTCCTCTCACGAATGTTCATTTAAATGAGAATTTTTAAATAGAAATATTTCTGCACACATGTAAGTTTGGCAGTAGACTAGAAGACAAATTTCCCAGGGGTTAAATTCATTTCCCTGCACAGATTTAGTTTGTTGACAGCTGGGTCTACCAGGCCACAGCACCCTCGCACCAGTGGGGTTTAACTTAGTTGCATCTGATTTCCATGTTGAAAATAAACAAAGAAAGATGAATAGAGACAATATGGCTCTCCTCAGCAGTTTTACACGCTTTGGTTTCCCCGTGCAGCTGCTGGATTTGAGTGTGTGCAAGTGGATTTGCATGTCTTTATAAGGTTTTCCTTACCAGGTTTCCATTTTAGAGCAAGGGAATTTGCACAAGATGGCAACAGAGTATTCCACCAGTTGTTCTCGTCTCACACGCAAATGCACCACTGCTTTTACACCACCGCTGTATCTGAACCTCGCTGTGTAGAGTTTTAACTGTGCACGCTGTGTGAAAAGAGGAGTTATGGCTTGATTTATTGAAACTGTTCAGCATGTTTTCCAATCAATACTTTTTTTCTCTCCCTGTGAACTAAAATGTAAGTGTTCGAAGTGGATCAGTGTGAGTTTTTGCCGCTGCGCTTGTGGTCACCCATGCTATTTTTTATTTTATTTTTTTTATTATTGTTGTGTGTTTCTAGTGGACGGAGGCTGGAGCGAGTGGAGCAAATGGTCGGCGTGTGGAGCGGACTGTTCGATGTGGAGGAGCAGGGAGTGCACCCAGCCTTCGCCTGGCACTGGGGGCAAAGACTGCCAGGGGCTCGACCTGCAATCTCTCAACTGTACCAGCGAACAGTGCCCACAGAGTGAGTGCACCACCACCCACATACTGCAAACTATACTTACACTCTTCAATTCAGCGAAACAGTAAAGAGCAGGCAGATTACTTTTCAAGTCACGTTTTGGGAATAGCATCAGTAAACAGTTGTTTTTTTATGTATTTGCTTATAATAACTGAGTTGAGGAGTGGCAAATGGACATTTTGAAATCGTATTGATTTAAAAACAACATTTGAGTGCAAAAAAGAAGCCTGACACTCAAGGCCAATGTGGAAAATATACTCAAAAATAAAAATCCCAAACAGCTCAGTCTTTATCAGACCTTTAATAAACACAACAAGCAGAACTCATCAATTAAGCCCCTGAACGGAGGCTGGTAGAAAAGGATGGCACAGAAAAGCTTTTCCCCTTTTTATATTACCAGTAATACTCTTTCTTCTGCAAGATAAAACAAGCATTTCATGCCTCCCTATGGCATCAGCTCCTTGTGATAGATGTTGAGTTCATCCAGCAAAGGGTTAATAAGGGAAACATGTCCATCTCATCAAGCACTTGTATAGACATGAGATTCATCTGCAGCCCGCTGCAGGCTCATCCCCACCTGCGTGACCTTTTTAGCCGATCATTTCTAATTAACACTGGTACGACACACGCAGCTAAAATAATACAGCATCTTATCACGTGGGTCGGTGCTGTGTTGCTCTATGACCTATTAATAGAGCTGAGAATTAAAGCATCTCTCTTCTGATTAAAGCACAACCTGCTAGATAAGGTGCCACAGGTCAAATCGACTGTGGAAACATACATGGGTGCTGTATAGGTGAATGTTTATTCTTAGTGCGTGAATATGTTCTCAAACAGTATATGTACTCTGTACATCATGACAGTCTTAAGTTTCCACTGTTAGAATTACTTAAATACATATGAGCTTGTCACAAAAAAACAAGCATGCATCTTAGTTTCATAGATTTGTTATAGCTCTTCTAGAAATATGATATATCTGCGGGGTCAGAAATATACATACAGCAATGCTAATATATGATTAAATGTCTCTTGGCCATTTTCACTTCAACTGGGCTCTTTTGGTAGCCGTCCACAAGCTCCTGGTTGTATCTTTGACCGCTCTTCTTCACAGTATTAGTGCCGTTCAACTAAATTTGTTGAATTTCTGACGCAGACTTGTTTCTGTATCATAGTCCACAGGTTCTCGATGAGGTCTACGTCAACAGGAGGCCGGTCTTAAACCTTGTTTCTAACCTAATTTAGCCATTTCCTGACCACCTTTGATGTGTGTTAGGGGGTCATTGGTTTATTAGGAACACCCAAATGCACCCAAGGCCCAACCCTCTAGCTGATTATTTTAGGTTTTCCTGAAGAATGTGGCAGCTTTCATTCTTCATTATTCCTTTGACTGTCTATAAAGCCCCAGGGCATGATACTGGCACCACTATGCATCACGTTTGGTTTGATGTTCTTGGGGTTAAAGGCTTCACCTTCTCTCCTCAAAACATATTTGTGGTCATTGTGGCCAAACAGCTCAATTTGTGTTTCATCTGACATCATTGTCCAGAAGCCTTTTCTTTGTCTATGTGATCAGCAGCAAACTTCAGTCAGAAGGGCTTTGCTCTTGCACGGCAGCCTCTCAGCCCGTGGCGATGTGAAACTTGTTTGACTGTGGACACTGTCACCTATATATATATTTATAAGCTGAATAGCCAGTGTGTATTGCTGTTTTAGTTAAGTCGGGAAGCAGTGTGCTGTCGCTCCCCTGCGTGTCATTAGTAGGTCATGTGCATACTGTCAAGATTAGAAACTACAAAGCTCATACAGCCCGAGCCCTCAGATGAGTGGAAAGTGGCACCACAGGGTCCACTGCAGACCAGATGGACATGAAGGGAGAGCTCTGTCGCTCCCTACAGATATCAAAGACAGAAAAGATATTGCCGCTTCCCATCCAAAGACAATAGTGTCAGGGTGCCGTCTCATGGAGGAATTGTTATAAATAATGTGCTCTTTGGCTGATCTGCTTGGTAAACACTGAGTTTTAATGGGGATTCAGTTGACATGGGCCAGTGAATTAATAAACTGAATTATGTATCTTGCACTGACTGATGTGATCAAATGGACCGACGGAGAGGGGCGGGGGTGGACGGGGCTGCAGAATATCTGATGAGATCTACTGTATGTGAATGCTGCATTGTGTATATATGTGTTAGCATTATGTGAATATGTGCATGCATGTGCTAACCGATAGCTGAGTTTGGCTGGTGCAGTCAACCAGGCAGCTCAGTGGGCCCATCATCAAAGGTCAGCAGCTCCTCCCCAGAGAGGCAAGAAATATACACAAAGATGCCAGTCATTGTTCCTCACACACACACACACAAACACTCACACGCACAGAGTCACTCAGTATTTACACTGACAGTGCAGTGCGGAGCGCTGGCCTCTGAAGAATGCCTGTCCCAATCTGTTCCCAGCAGATGCGTTTCCATAGACAATTGCTGTGTGAAGTATTATAATAAGCAAAATAGCAAGATGGTTTTGGCTTGTCAGCAACTCCCATACTTCAACCATGTCTGCAGGCTATTAGCTGAGATGGAAAACTTCCCCCTGAAACAAAAGGCAGCCTTCTCTTCCAGTGTAATCGAACAAAACAACTGCAGGGTGAGCCATAGTCCCTCTGCAACAAAAGCTGTCCTCTGTCTGAGGACCCCACCAACATCTCTAATCTCCCTCATTATGCCAGAAGAAAGACGTAAGTTAGATGAGGTTATTGTTTTGGGTACTACATATACAGGGATCAATGTGCAGCACCAGGCTTTTTGTTGCAGCTCAAAAATAATCAGATCTGACCCGGGCAGGATCGTTTTCATAAAGCAAATAAGTGAAGGCAAAGATGTAGCTATGCAAAATATGTGCAGGGAAATAATAAACACGCTGGCTGTGTGCCAGAGCCAAAATGGTAGACAGGTGTTAGAGGACACCGAAGGGATAGTGGGGAAAAATAATAGTGCTTGTATCCTGATGCACAGAAATTACAACAACATAAAAACAATTATTTGGCTTAATGTGTATAATGAAGGTAATGAACGTAATTTGCAGCAGCATCCCATTTCTGGGTGTCACAAATGACTGTGCAAAACGCAACACACTGTTAATTTGTCTTTAGTCTGTTTTAGCTTTCTATTTTCAGGGGACTAATTTGGTGGCGGAGTGGCTGATGTTTTCGTCATGGGTTTGTTTGTCAGAGCAGGGTCACAGTGCGGTGTGAAAAATGGCTGAACATTTATTTTGGGCCATATTTCACCGGGACCCGCTGAGGGATGGGACGACTGTATTGTGGAGATAGTAATGGTCACGTTCACTTTGAGAGTTTTAGTAGCCATATTTCCCTGACCTTAAGAACTCCAGTGTTATTCATCTTCGGGCGACTGACTGGGATTGGCCATGGGATGAAATATATTCTTAGGTCTCCTGATAAATGCCCAGGGAAGAGGCGAGGGAGGCTCCAAAGCTCTTATTTATCAATTCAGGGGGAGAGAAAAGAGCAGGTAGAGAAAGTTGAGGACTATCAGGTGCGGACATTGTGCTGACTGTCAACACGGCGAGTCCGAACTTCAACGGGGGCCAGATACATTGCCTCGGAGGAGATGAATTATACCGGGCCTGTCTCGAGTCAGAAAGTGATCCCTAAGCAGCCAGCCCTGAAGCGAGTCTGAGGAGCTGCACTGAAAGCCCAAGGAGAGGGGAGCAAACAGAGAATGGCCCGGGGTCAACTCTGGAAAAAAAAAAAGCTCATCACATCCACAGATTATCCGCAGGCGGGTGTCAATCATGATGAGAGGTCACACACAAAGAGAATCAAAAGTTCTTTGCCAGCAATTAAGTGAAGTGGAAATGACTGATGGAGTGACGGGCTGCAGAGAGGAAGAGAGGTAAATTGGTATGGAGTGTGCGCGGGAAGAGAGCCGGAGAGAGGGCACGTTAGAGAGGGACCAAAGTAAAGCCCATCCAATTATAAAACCTGATTAGCTATGTCAATTAAAGTGTGATGGATGTCCTTTCAATTATTGGCTGGCATCATGAAAATCAATAAGCGGGGGCCAGCAGGAAGCTGAGAAGCAGCCGCTGGTCCGGGTTGTAGTAGAGCATCGGGATCGTTCCGCTGTGACACCTGGTGGGTCAGATAAAACTTCACTCAGCGATGCTCCGATAAGCCGCCAGAGATTAGAGCCAGAATGTTGGGAAGAGAGGGATAGAGAGAGGAAGGAGAAAGAAAGAAAGAAAGAAACAGAGAGCGGGCGAGTTGTCTGATTGACTGACTTTATTGTCTGGGCGCGAAACCGGTGTGTGCAGGAGGGAGAAGCAGGAGTACAGATACTGGGTCGACGCATCCGAGGTGAGCCAGGTGTCTTTGGTGTGCCCTTAGAAAGTAAACACCAACTGGCCAATCTGAGGCTGTGTTTACCCAATCAGTAGAAACCAGTTGGCTCGTCTCCTTTGCTGACGGGTGTTGTTTTGTCTTTAGTCAGACTGCACATCTCTCAGAAGACTGCAGCACTAGAAGCCCAAATATCACAGCGTCATCTGGCCTTTGACTCACCAAGACAATTGGATTTGGGAACTTTAATGAGAGGTTCAGCCGGAGTTTCTCCCTCCGTGTTTTTTTTTTTTTTTTTTCCTGAGCTCATTGTGGAAGGTGGAAGGTTTAGCCAGGCAGCTTGCAGCTAAGCACCTCTATGCCTCCCCGAGGAGACAGAAAGAGAGGTAAATGGACAGGCTGAGAGGTGAAAGAAGGCCGTCCCCTAAGAATCCTAATGCCATAAGTGTGTTTTGTGCTGTGTAATGTCAGGAACAAAAAAAAAAAAAAAAAACACGATCTTGTGTTTATCTTCAGCCAGTCATTCACAATTGATTACATGTCAAGAGATCTCTGGCATTACCAAGAACCGCCATAGAGGTTAGCTGCATATAATCCCGCTACTTAAAGTATCAGATAGTACTGAGATAATCACCCATGAAATAGA